CATGAGACAAAGTATATGTGAACTGCTGTATGGAAAGTGAATTTGCTCTGTAAATCTTCACCCAAATCACAATAAATTAAAAATAAATAAATAAAAGAAAGGGCACTCAGTTGATTCCAACTCATAGTGATCCCATGAGTACAGAGGAGAACTGTGCTCCATGGGGTTTTCAAGGCTATGACCTTTAAGAAGCAGATCACCAGTCCTATGGTGCCTCTAGGTGGGTTAGTAGTCCAGCACTTAACCATTTGTACCACCCACGGATTCCTAGAAAGGATCTAGGACCGCAGGAAAATAAGGTAACCAGGGAGGTTTCTGGCAGCTCTGACTGGCCCCACTCAAGTTTATCAGGCCTGGGCTGGGAGCTGTGGCAAGGTGCCTAGAGGGCAGTTGTCTACTGAATCAGGCAGGTTAAGTCCTCATTCATCTCTCTCTTTCTTAGGAGACACAAAACCTCAGACTCTGAAAATCAAGTGGTGTCCCTTAGGAAATTCTTTGTTGTTGTTATTGTGTGCTGTTGAGTTGATTCCAACTCACAGTGACCCCAGAGGACAGAGTAGAACTGCTCCAAAGGACTTTTTGCTTTATTTTTATTTTTGCAGTATATCGTCCCCTCCCCACCCACCCGTACCCAACAAAGTTTTCTTCCATATATAACCCTTTCCTTGACTTTTTCTAATAATGAACTAATACAATATTTGTCCTTCTGTGATTTGACTTATTTCTCTCAGCATAATGTCCTCCAAGTTTATCCACATTATGTGATGTTTTGCAGATTCTACATTATTCTTTAGTGTTGCATAGTATTCCATCATGTGAATGTACCATAGTTTGGTTAGCCATTCTTCTGTTAATGGACACCTAGGTTGTTTCCATCTTTTTGTTATTGTAAATAGTGCTGCAATGAACACTGTTCTTTTCCTGGCTGTCACTTCTTTAGGATATATACCTACTATGGGATTACTGGATCAAATGGTATTTCTAATTCCAACTTTTTAAGGAATTGCCATACTGCTTTCCACAGTGGTTGTATCATTTTACAGTCCCACTAGCAGTGTATGAGAGTTCCAATCTCTCCACATCCACACCAGTATTTGTTATTTTCTGTATTGCTCAATTTTGCTACTAGTGTTGGGGCAAGATGGTATCTCATTGTTTTATTTGTATCTCTCTAATGGCTAATGATTGTGAACGTTTCTTCATGTGTTTGTTGGCCGCCTGAATATCCTCTTTGGTGAAGTGTCTATTCATGTCTTCTGCCCATTTTTTAATTGAATTACGGTGGTTCAAACCCACCAGCCACTCCTCAAAAGGAAGACTGGGCAATCTACTTCCATAGTGATACTGCCTTGGAAACCAAAGGAGGGGTTGCTATGAGTCGGATCCAACTCGACAGCAGTGAGTTTGTTTTTTGTTTTTGGTCTTTTTGTTGTTGAGGTGTTGGAGTTTTCTATAAATTTTAGAGATAAGACCCTTGTCAGATACGGCATTGCCAAACATTTTCCCACCATCTGTAGGTTATCTTTTTTTTACTCTTTTGCAGAAGTCTTTGGAAGCACATAAAAATTTAATTTTTAGAAAGTTCCATGCATCTAGTTTCTCTTTTGCTGTTTGTACATTTTGGGTTATGCTTGACAGTTTATTTATACCATAAATTAGGGCCCGTAAATTTGCCCCAGTTTTTTCTTGGGGAACTTTATTGTTTTAGGTTTCACATTTAAGTCTTTGATACATCTGGAGTTAGTTTTTGTGTATGGTATGAGGTACAGATCTTGATTCATTTTTTTGCAAATGGATATCCAGTTTTGCCAGCACCATTTATTAAAGAGATCATCTCTTCCCCATTTAATGGATTTCAGCCCTTTATCAAAAATCAGCTGACCACAGGTTGATAGATCTATTTCTGGGTTCTCAATTCTGTTCCACTGGTCTATGTGTCTGTCATTGTACTGATACCAGACTGTTTTGACTACTGTGGCTGTAGAGTAGGTTTTGAGATCCAGCAGTGTGAGACCTCCTACTTTATTCTTGTTCTTCAATAGTGCTTTGCTTATCTGAGGTCTCTTTCCTTTCTACATAAAATTAGTGATTAGTTTTTTCATATCCTCAAAGAATGCTGACGGGATCTGGATCAGGATTGTATTGAATGTATAGATTGCTTTGGGTAGTACTGACATTTTCACAATGTTCAATCTTCCTATCCACAAACATGGTATGTTTTTCCATTTATGTAAATCATTTCTACTTCAAGAAATAGTGTTTTGTAGTTTTCTTTGTTCAGGTCTTTTTGTCCCTAGTGAGATTTATTCCCAAGTATTTAATTTTTTCGTAGCTATTGTGAATGGTATTGATTTCCTTATTTCCTTTTCAGCAATCTCTTTGCTGGTGTAGAAGAATCCAATTGATTTTTGGATGTTGATCTTATATCCTGCCATGATGCTAAATCTGTTAGTTCCAGTAGTTTTTCTGCTGAGTCTCTTGGATTTTCTGGGTATAGGATCATATCATCAGCAAATAGGGATATTTTGACTTCTTCCTTACCAATTTGGATGCCTTTGATTTCCCTTTCTTGCCTTATTGCCCTGGCTAGGACTTCCAATACGATGTTGAATAGAAGTGGTGATAGAGGGCATCCTTGTCTGGTTACTGTTTGCAAGGGGAACGGTTGCAGTCTCTCTTCATTGAGAATAATGTTGGCTGTTGGTTTTCATATATGCCCTTTATTATGTTGAGGAATGTCCTGTCTATTCTTATTTTGCTGAGAGTTTTTATCAGGAATGGGTGTTGCATTTTATCAAATGCCTTTTTTTGCATTGATTGATATGATCATGTGGTTCTTTTCCTTTGTTTTATTTATATGACAGATGACACTGATTGTTTTTCTAATGTTGAACCATCCTTGCATATCTGGTATGAACCCTACTTGAGCATAATGTATTATTTTTTTGATATGTTGTTGGAGTCTATTGGCTAGGATTTTGTTGAAGATTTTTGCATCTATATTCATTAGGGATATGGGTCTGTAGTCTTCCTTTTTAGTGATGTGTTTGCCTGGGCTCCAAAGGATTTTCAAGGCTGTAATTTTTATGGAAGGAGCTCTGGTGGTATAGTGCCTAAAGCATCTGACTGCTAAGTAGAAGGTTGGCGGTTCAAACCCACCAGCCACTCCACAAAAGGAAGATGGGGCAACCTACTTCTGTAAAGATTACTGCCTTGGAAACCTGATGGGGGTCGCTATGAGTTGGAATTGACTTGATAGCAATGAATTTGGTTTAGAATCTTTATGGAAGCAGACCACCTCATCTTTCTCCCATGGAGTGTGGCTGGTAGGTTTGAACCATTGACCTTTTTGATTAGCAGCTGCACACTTAACTGTTGTGCCACCAGGGCTCCTTGGAAATTTTCTACAGCCCCCAAAACAAGAATTGGACCATCAGAGATCTGATGAGATGCATCCTCTGATTTTGAGGGGCTGGTCAATCAGGCAGTTGAGAAGAGAGCAGTCAGATCTTTCCTAGGGAAGTCAACCACCTGCCTCCAAATGCCTCTAGAACCATGAGTGATTCGCTTTCACCTGGGCACGGCTGGCCAATTAGCTGCAAATAAAATTGAGTTGGCACCACTCAGCCTCTGACTAAAATGGAAAATTCTGGTCTCATTAGGTCTTGTGCCACTGACTTCCCTGCCCTCGAGAAAGGGATTTATCCACAATGTTGATACCATTAGTACCTCCTTCTAATGGCAAAACTGAAAGTACAGGTGTCTTGGCCTGACAAGCCAAACCTCAGGCCTCCAAGGAACAGCTGGTTTGAAAAAGAAATAAGAATTCCTTTAATGAAAGAACTAGATGTTTTCCTGTGTATATTCTCAACGACAACAGAATATTTTTTTTATAGTGCATCATAATAAACTACTTGAATGTTGTTCTTTTTACCTTAGATGTTGCCAAAGATACTTCAAGTTACAAAATGACAACAGATACAGGTCAAGTATCCTGGCCAAGCTGATGCAGTCATCGGAGGCCCATTTTCTTGTAAAGCTTCTCCTTCTTGAATTCTGCACATTCAACTAGACCTTCCTAGGGCCTTTTGTACTAGTGCCCACACCAGAGACAAAGAAAATATATCCTGGAAAAAGACCATTAACTGAGTGGAGCCACGGAGTATTCTGTATTGAACATTCCTTACCAAGTTCATCCAGCAGCTCCTGAGATGGCGGTGGTAGCTCATCAATGTGATGCTGGGAGATGGTTTCTACTAGTTCTTGAAGAAGATAAAGGGAAATGACTTAACATTTCCTGGCCCTGAACTGGATTTTCTAGGCTCCCACAAGGATGTGACTTAGGATTTCTCAGTGATGAAACAAACTAAGGGAGGAGGAAACCTCTTACATAAGAGCCTTAGTGGAGATCTTCTAATGTGGGAATGGCCTTCACTCACTCTTTTGCCCCAAACCCTGTCCTAAATCACCCCTTACTCCAGTACTGCTTGATTTGTGCCCCTCTCTCCCAAAGGAGAGCTGGGGTAGGTGAGGCAGGAGTTCCTATGAAGAGGCTCATGGCTCAATCTGACCAGGCTGCTAAGGGGATACAGAAGCACTGGACCAAGCAAAATGAATAAAACCACAAACTAAGGGGGTCGTACTCTGTAGATTATCAGGGAGGTATTGCAAGGAGCAATCATACTTGGGACCTTCCCTCAGTGCTCAGTTATAACATTAACCAAACTCCCTCAACATAATTCATAAAATCTCTATTCCTAAGGGACATTCTAAGAGTTGTCCTAAAGACATAAGATGTTAAAATTAATGTAGTAAAGGCAATATGCCTCAAGAGTTGTTAATACCCTCATTCCCTCTGACTTGAAAACTGTCTTCTAGGAAAGGGTCAGAGGTGCAGAAAAAAATCTATATACAAAGAGCCAAAATTGGAAAACAACATTAATCTTCACAATAGATATGGTTAAGTGAATATGTAAAACAGACTATCATGTAGCCATTACATATATTTATGAATAAATTTTAATGTTAATGAAAATCCTCAAAATATAAAACCAAGGGGGAAAATGCAGGCTAAAACTTATATACAATATGATCTCAACTATGTTCAAATATATATAGTTTTATACCCTTCTAAAAATATGAAAAGATAAGCACCAAAACAGTATATGAGGTTAAAAATTGGTGGCAAGGTTAAAAGGTGGTTTTTATTTTCTTTTTCAAACTCTTCTTTATTCTCTAAGTTTTATTTACAATGAATGTGTTTTACTTTTATAAGCAGTGGAAAAACAGCATTTTTGTTTTCATCTAATGTCAAAGATGAGACCAAGGCTCCCTTAATGTGGCTTACTATGAGGGAGTTCCTACTACGAGGGAGCTCCTACTGTGAGGGAGCTCCTACTACCAGGGAGCTCCTACTACCAGGGAGCTCCTACTATCAGGAAGTTCTTACTATTAAGAAGTTCTTTTTTGATAATAACTGCTGGGTACCTTTGGGCAGGCTCCTTCTCTGGGTGGTGGGGAGTGATATGCCAGGTGCCTTAGCCATGCCTGAGGAACCAGGCCCAGTAAACGCAGACAACTTGTTCTATAAGACAGAAACATGGTAACTGACATGTGTACTGAGCTAACAAGGCACGAGCAGCTCATCATTTCCAAGAAGAAGTTGACATATTATCTATGGAAGAAGTAATTTGTAGATGAAGTTAAACTTTTGTTCCCATGTTCCTCCTTGGGCAACCCTTCCCACTCCTCTTTGCCTCCTTAGCACTCAGAACTCACCTCTGTCTTGCAGCAGACCTTTCTCACTAGGTGGTGAGCTCCTTGGGAGCGGGGACTTTCTTATTCCAGAATGCCTGGAATGGTGCCTTACACTTAGAACCTGTCCAATTAACAGTTTGCTGAATGAAAGCTCAGAATTCTTGTTATCTCCCTACTTAAAGGTGATACTTTTTGTGAGCCAAATGCCCAAGAAAGTTGTCAATCACTTCTTTTCACTGAGGGTGAAAACAAGTAATCAATTTCTCTATTGAGTGGTCAGTCAACAAGTTTTTAATGAGCAGTACCAAGTAAGGAACTTGTAGCCTTCTTGAAGAGGCTAAGGAGATGAAATACGATGGAGTGACGAGGGGCAGGGAGAGGAGGTGAAGCAGGAAAAGGGAAGAGGTAGTATATGCAACTGGGTGTTTTTACTGCAGACAAAGGGAGCTCTGGTAGCATAGTGCCTAAGACACTTGACTGCTAACCAGAAGGCTGGCAGTTCAAACCCACCAGCCACTTCTCGGAAGGAAGGTTGGGCAATCTACTTCCGTAGTGATACCGCCTTGGAAACCCAAGGAGGGGTTGCTATGAGTTGGGTCCGACTCGACAGCACATAACAACAACAACAACAACACTGTAGACAATGATACATACCATTAACCAGGGGGTGTTTCAAGGAGGAGGCAGGGTTTATGCCTCCTCAGGTATGTAGATTATGGTTAGAGAGAAAGAATAACACAGATGAAGGTAGCATCATGAACTACGGCACACGAGTTAGCTCTTTAGAGACACTGCCAAACATTATCTCTGGGGGAAAATAAAATAGCACCAAAAAACTAGGATCCATCCCACAAAATAGACTCAGAAAAGGAGCCTTGGGGAAGCCTGGAAAGGATGCAGTCTTGTTCTTTGCACTCTTTGTTCAGTGGAGAAGTTCTGGGCTAACCCCCTGGGTGTGTGATGAAGATTTTATGTACTTACGAGCCCAGTCCTTCTTGAAGGGGGTGTTTCAGGGGAAGTAAGGAGGGACTCCAGGATCCTCACTTTCTCCTGGACACTTGTAAATTTATCAGATGAGGTTTCAATGAGCTCTTGACTGTTCCGGTGAGCAGCAGACTCTGTTGTAGCTTGAAATGTGATACTTTCAAGACAATCTTTATACCGACTAGCTGATGAAGAAATGGACATGGAGCCTGTTGAAGAAAAGAGGGCAGTTCATGCCAGAAAACTTCATATTATTTAAGAAAAAACAAACTCAAAAAACAAAAAACTTCAATACCTATACCAGGGGTTTTCCAAATTGCTAATAACTGACATAACCACTGACCTGAAGCACAGCTCCTTAAGGTATAAAAAATTACTCTCTAAATTTGACCATCAAAATAAAGGAAAATTATACTGCAGTTAAAACCTTCTAACAGCCACTTAATCACCACCACCACCCCTACCTGGCTTCCCATCTCCCCTTCAGCTCTGATGAGTAAATAGTCACCAGGTCTGACTTCGCCAAGGTAGACCATGGGCAGGGGCTGTTAGTTCCTCTCCCGAAATGTTTCTCCTTCCTGTAGGTCATTACCTGGGCTGAGTGGAGTGCTAACACTAGTAGGTGCATGGTTGATTTTGGGTGTTTTACAGGAAGCTTCCTTAAAAGAGCCTTCTCGTTCATAGGAGATACTAGACAGGTCTTGAATGTCCGTCAATGATCTAAAGAATTAAGATTAGAGCACAAAGCAATTAAGAGAAGCTGTTTTGGAATCAATTTATTTCTGAGAGGTACTTTTTAAAGTGTGCTTTTGACAAATCTTTATCGGCAATAAGCCAGAATTAGAGACTCTCTTAAGGAGATACTAACTTTAAAACATACCTGAGCAGTGAAAAATACACTTTTCCATGGATGAAAGGATATGTATATGGAAAACAGACTTAATCTACTATACATATAAATATGTTATTATTATTATCACTATATTTCCTTGATTGTAAGATGGTATTAGTTATAAACTGCATCATTAATTTAGTAATAGCTTTTTGATGAAAGAAGAGGTATATTTTATGTACACATAAAAATAGGAAGAATGTAGACTCTCACAAACAAGGAAATACAATTCCAGTAAAACCAATACTGGACATAGCATCCTTAGGCAATTCTTTAGTGGCCATACATGTCTTTTTCTTTCAGTTCCTTTGGTGGCTCCTTTAAAGTCTCTTCTTGTTCACTTTCAGTACTGTAAGAGAGAAAAGTGAAAAAATTATATGAATCCCCTGTTCACAAACGTGGAAAGTGCACAAACTTGGTATAAGGGACAAGTTTACCAGCCCAGTGTGCAAGGCAGCAGAAAGGGTGTAAAGCTCAGAAGTGGAAGAGCATGGGTTCTGATCCTGAACAAATAATCTCTAAGGCTCAGCCCAGCTCTGAAATCAGCCATGGGTCTCTAACAGGGAGCAAGTTCCTGGGAGGAAATCAGCGGGGCACAGGAAGTTTGCTGGGGGACTGAGGGGCGATGGTAGATGATGTAAGGGCAAGGGGCACAGCCATGGGGGCCGTCTCAGCTGTGAAACAGCTGCCTGGCCTAGAGTACCAGGAGAGGCCAAGAGAGGACTGTGCCCAAAATTGGTCAGAAAAGAATACTGAAAACAAGCATGCCCCGTTTCTATGTTAACCATTATTTAAGAGTCAATCTTAACACTCACTGAACACTAACTATAAGCCAGGTCCCTTGCTAAATCTTTCCATTTATGTTTTCACGCTTTTAATCCTTGCAACAATCCTGTGAATGGTAGAAAGGAGAGTGTGGTTTGGTTTGAGTTGTGACTTTAGTAACACTTTTCATCAAAATGTTTCTGGTTCTCCTTCTCGGCACATAGTAGGACAGTACTTTTTGATACTCTTAATTTACATAAATAGTCACATAATTTGTTTTAACCAATGAAATGTAAGTGAAAGTGATGTGAGTCACTTGTGGGCAGAAACTTTAAGAGCCAGCACACAATTTACCATGTTTCCTTCTTCCTGCCTCAGCCATCAAGGAAGCACAAAGATGAAACCCCCTTCAGCCGGGGTCTCTGGTTGAAGGTAATACAGAGCAGAACGCCCCTAGCCAATCCATGACGGACACGACACATGATCGAGAAATAAACTTTTGTGGTTTTAAGCCACTAAAATTTGAGGGTTGCTTGTTATGTAGCAGAATCTAGCCTGTCCTGACTGATATGGCCATTTACAAGGTGTGTGAACTTAGAAAAAAATACTAAAACTCTGAATTTTGCTTTTGTCATGGGCAAAATGGAGATAACAGATGGACCTCAGAGGATTGTTGCATGGATTAAATTAGGCAATAAAACAAAATATCTGGTGTATGGTAGAAACTTAGGAAACAGTATCTTTAATTATTTTGGAAGGAAGATGGGGCAATCTACTTCCGTAGTGATACTGCCTCGGAAACCCAAGGAGGGGTCGCTATGAGTCAGGTCCGACTCGACGGCACATAACAACAACAACAACAACAACATCTTTAATTATTATACCAAACCCACTGCCATCAATTCAATTCTGATTGACAGTGACCCTTTAGGATAGAGCAGAACTACTCCATAGGTTTTTCAAGGCGGTAAATCTGTATGGAAACAGACAGCCTCATCTCCTGCAGAGTGGCTAGTAGGTTTGAACGGCCAACCTTCTGGTTAGCAGTGGAATGCTTTAACCACCATACCATCAGAGCTCCTTTAATTATGATAGATAAGGAAACTGAGGCCCAAAAAGGGGGAAAGTGAAATGAATGCTATTGTGCCAGGCACTTTACATCTATAGTTACCTTTTTAAAATAAACTTTTTTATTTTGAGGTAACTGTAGATTCACATGCAGTTGTAAAAATTAGAGATCCCATGTACTTTTTTTACCCAGTTTCCTCCAGTGGTAACATCTTCCCAAAGTATAGCGCAGTAACACAATCAGGATCCTGACACTGATACTGTCAAGACACAGAACACTTCCACACCCCAAGGAGCCTCCCAGTTGCCCTTTTACAGTTACATCCACTTCCCTCCCATCCTACTCCCTCCTTAGTCTCTGGCAGCCATGACTCTGCTCTCCATTTCTATAATTTTGTCATTTTCTGAATGTTATATAAATGAAATCATACTGTAAATAACTTTTGGGGATTACTCTTATTAGTCAGCATAATTCTCCCCAAATTTATCCAGGTTGTTTTATGTAGCAGTAGTTTGTTCCTTTTCATTACTACGTAGTATTTCATGATATACCATCCTGTGCCTAACCATTCCTCTGTTGAAGGGCATCTGGGCTGTTTCCAGTTGGGGGATATTATGAATAAAGCCACTATAAACATTCATTTACATGTTTTTGTGTGGATATAAGTCTTCATATCTGTTCTGGTTACTTAGTGCCACTCTGACAAGAATTATACCACAAATGAATGGCTTGAACAAACAGGAGTTTATTCTCTTACAGTTCGGAGGCTTTAAATCCAAGTTCAAAATGCCAGGCCCTAGGGGCTGTGTAAAAGCCCCTCGACCTTGGGCTTCAGCTCTGCCTCTTGCTCCCGGCCCACTGAAGCTAGAGACATCTCTTCACTCAGGCAGCTACTGGCTGCTGAGGCTAACAAACCCAAGGTCAACAAATAAAATGGCACAGTCCCAATGTTACCAAACCACACAGCAGGCCATTAATTCAAGTCCATTGTAAGTCCCAAGGTCGGCAGAGCATGGCACGCTGCTGAACAATGACACGGTTACACACAGGGTCCAAACATACCATAAGCTCAAAACCATTCCAAAAGCTGTTTCTTATATAAGGGAAGCAGATCATATACCCAAAGGCAGCTACTTAGCTGCTCACAGTAGATTCCACCATGGAGTTGATTACCAGTCTCATCATGGGGAATACTACATCCAGCTGCCCAGCCACTCAACCAGGCCCAGCCAACTTGACACAAATGTAACCACCACAATATCTCTGGGATAAATGCCCAGGAGTTATATTATTACTTTTGATCTCAATGTCAACATTCTTAGTAAGGATCCTTCTTTTTTTTTTTAAATTGCAATTTGGGTGAAAGTTACAGTGAAAATTCACTTTCCATACAGCAGGTCACATACACTTTGTCTCATAACATTGACTACAATTTACCACAATGCAACAACTCCCCTTCCACTTCCTCCCCATAGTTACCTCTTCCCTGTGTCCTTCCCTCCACACACTCCTGCCCCACCGAGCTGTCTTCCTGTCCATACACAGCCCTTCTATTCTCCCATGATTGTTCTCGCCAAGGAGTGTATCTACTTAATATAAATGTTCAGCTCATCTGCCTGTGTTTTGTTTGGCTGGAAGCCACAGGACTGGGTTCAATTCCAGACCTGAAGGGCAGCTAAGGGCCATATCTCAGTGGTTCTATCAGATCAGCAAACCTGGTCTTTTTTTTTTTTTTTTTTTTAATGATTTTGAGTTTTGTTCCACATTGTTCTCCCACTCTATTCAGGATCTCTGACATAGATCCCCCTCCAAGTGGTTGACAGTGCTAGCCGGGTACCATCTAGTTCTTCTGGTCTCATAGTTGTATAGGCTGAGGATCGCATGTACCAGTCACTTGGACTAATTGTTTCCAAGAATCTTTGGTTTTCTTCATTTTTCTTTGCTCTGGATGAGGAGAGACATCCATCATTGTATCTAGATGGCCGCTTGCAAGCTTTTAAGATCCCAGTCACTACTCACCAAAGCAGGATGTGGAACAATGTTCTTGTGTAGTATGTTATACCAATTGAGCTTGATGTCCCCTGCGACTATGGTCTCAAGCCCACAGGTCCAACTACTCACTCCTCTGGGTAGCTGGCTGTGCCCAAGGAGACTACAACCTTGTCCCTTGTCAACTCTACTATATACCTGGGAATTCTTTCTTAGTAAGGATTCTTATCCTTATTTCAAAGATGGGGGAAAAAAAATAGAAGGGCTTAGAATCTTTCTACATAGGATAGTAGAGTCAGGTTCTGAATACAGATAATTCATTTTTTACCATCCCTCCCAGTTCTGCTGTACAAGTCCTTACAAAGCTAAGTTGCCCTAAGCCACTTTTCTTAATATGGTGGATAATATACTTGAAGATAAAGCCAAAAAAAACTCACTGCCATTGAGTTGGAACTGACTCATAGTGACCCCTCCTTGGGTTTCCGAGGTGGTATCACTATGGAAGTAGATTGCCCAACCTTCCAGTAAGTATAGAGGTATGGGGTATTATCACCATTGAATGTTGCTTCTAGGACTCTGAAACTATAAATAATGATAGCCTATACCTTCGTATGGGAGCTCTGGTAGCATAATGGCTAAGACACTTGCCTGCTAACCAGACGGCTGGCGGTTCAAACCCACCAGCCACTCCTCGGAAGGAAGGTTGGGCAATCCTACTTCCGTAGTGATACT